AGCTGAGTAGTGGGGTCCAGGATTTAGACCAAGGCAGTCTTATTTCAAGGGCTCTTAGCCCCAAGCCTTCACTACTCACCTCCCTCAGATTTATCTCCCCAAAGCATAATTCTAGTTGCATCCCTTCCCTTCTCCAGAGTCTTCAAAGGCTCCATGTTACACCACCAACATCATCCAATCTCTAGGCCATGGAGCTCAAGATCCTGCATAGTCTATCAGTCTACTCTTACAGCATTGTCTTCCACGTCCAGATCTTTAATTTGAACTTCTTGCCTTATCTGAACCTCGGTGCTGTCTCACTTCTTTGATTCACATAGTCTAGCTAACATGAGCACCTCCAGCCTTATGTCCAGCAGTCTAAATCCTCGCTACCTTTCTGCCCCCCACCACCAACTTGACCATTTCTGGATAAACACTGTCGTGTATGATGCATCTATCACTCACCTTTCTAGAATTCTCTGAATGTGACTCTTAAAGGTATTGGCATATCCTCATTTGCATTTTATGATTAGTATACATATACGTTTACCCTGTTAGATTGAAATCTCTTTGTAAGCAGGGATAAGATCTTCTTTTCTTCCTTTAGAGCTTTACATATAGGGCCTCTTATAGAGCACCACATGTAAGGAGTAAGTTTAGCACATAATTTGTTGATTGACTGGCTGAATGAATGCATTTTAATTCTTTTGTTCTTTAGTTTGTTCATTTATCTTCTGAAGTAACATCTCAAAAGCAGGTTTGGCTCATATACAAAATATCCCATGGTGTTCTTGGTATGGGCCATTGCTCTCACCCAGAATATTTCTTAGCTTTATATATATATATATATATATATTTTTTTTTTAAAGGGTGAAATGGAAGGTTAAGAGTTAGAAGTGCATTTGATCTTTTCCTGACCCTTCCCTGACTTTCGTGTGACTTCAAGCATGTCACTTGAACCTCTCAGTGAACCCAGCTGTGAAACTGGCTGCCTGGTGTCACCGAAGGATTGTAAGGAGTAGCAAATCACAGACCTTGTCCATGCAGAATCACCTGCAGGCTCTGATGCCTGCATAGGGTGAGGAGGGGAATCTAATTTCCTAAGCCGAGTAGTCAGTGGGACCCTCACTTTGAATGCCTTTGGGAACAATTAGCTGAGAGTCCTTGAAAATCTGTTACTTTTCTGTTCTCTAATTTTATTCTCTAATTCCTGTAATTTTTTGTATTTTTAACTGTTCCTGGTCTTTAGACTGAAAAGTGTATTGTACTGTTCATGTTTTTAGACTTCAGTGGTGAGAAGGTGTCATTTCAGATATTTTAAAAAGAAACGAGTTTTGGGAAAAATAAAAGGATCTTGAATTTTTATTTTATACCATAGTATTAAGAAAATTTTCTGCTTCAAAGAGAATATTTTGAAAATGATGCTAATCACACTTTAAAGCTAACTATTTGGTAATGACCTGTGCAACCCGTGAAACATGTTTCTAAATAGCTGTTTGTTTGCTTGTTTGTGTGGTGTAGGTTAGCAAGACAGTTGCAAATAAGTAGAACAGAAAACAAATTTAGAAACTGTTAGCTATCATACAGACAGAACCTTTTTATATCATTAATGTATTCTATAAAATCTTTCCAATAGTAATGCATGGAGGATTTAATAGATTTCCCAGTATTATTTGTTTTCTAACTGGGAGAAATCCATCTAAAAGGAAATTTCTTGTAGCATGTGCTGATTATCATTCTTTGACTGCTTTGGGGTTTCTGCTGCTTTTAAACTAGCATTTAAATGGACCATTTGATTAATCATTTGTATACTGACTGTAATCCTCCCAAATTTCCTTTCTGAGTTGTACATACTGTAAAAGACAATTATGTCACCACAGATTAAATAAGTGAATTAAAACAGAATAGCGGCTTAATTTGACCTGTGATTTTGCTCTCCTTCCCTTTAGTGGCGCGTGTGCCACTCCAGCAAATAAATGAAGTCATCCATGACAGCTCGTGATGAATTGCCGTATTTATACTGTATATTTTAATAGCCTCACACTAATTTAAATTGAGCACAGAGTAAATTATAATTCAGTCACTTGACTGCTTGTATTTAACTTGACAACTCATCCTTATTTGTCCTGGAGGTGTAGTGGAGAGCAAGGGAAATGCACTCAGGTATTTCAGTTTCTCACTTAACCCTTTCTCCAGGAAATGCTTTATATTCAGATTCTTGCCAGTTTAAAGCATTTAGTGCTTCCTGAGGAGAAAATAAACACCGAAGACTTGGGTAGTCCATACTTTCCTTGTACTTGAAAAAGAAAATGAGCATTTGCTATGCTTTTTCTCTGTTGCCTTCAAAGAAAGAATTGGCCTTGTTTATTTTTAGCAGCTGTAAAGCTCACTCACAAGAATGCCCAAGGGAAGGGGAATTAACCTTCCACCCAAAGTGCCAAGTCTCCCAGAAAATAAAGAGCATTTGAGTAGAGTTATTTTGAGGTAGATTCTACTTTCCCTCTCAAGTTCCCAGAAATTACTTTATTCACTTTTCCATCATTATGGAATCTTCACCTTTCTGGACTATAGCAAATACCAAGGATGATCAGGACCAATTAGAATACAACGCATTAACTCCACAAACACAGTATTCCTTGTTCCATTTTAGATCCGTGTGGCACTTTTATTTGTTATGGTGTTTTTGCCTTTTGTTTTAAATGTAGTTGTAGAATTTAAACAAGCCATTTCCTTTGTGTCTAGTGAGAGCTTATGGTTGTAAGGAGCGCGTTAATTAAATTCCACATCACTTAATGGGCACTACTGTGAGTAAAACTTGTGCTGGGTGCCGGAGAAATAGATGTACAGTATATGCAAGACTCAGTCCTTGCCCTTAAGGGGCTCTCTGTGTTCCCTCAGCCTGTAATTTTCAGGCAATGAGGGATACATTCTAGAGGCAGAATGTGATAAAGAGAAATAGAAATGGTCAAAACTGAGTTGAATTCTGATGGAGGGTTTTGAGATGAGCTTTATTGAGGTGGTGAGGCCTTCGATCTGGGTCTTACTGGTCAAACAGATTTTATACCCAGTGACTGTTGACTAGAAGTCCAGAATGCCCACAGTGCATATGCCAACCAGGAGCACTCATCTGGGCTCACATAAGCAGTGGGTTTGAGGTGGGATGATCTGGAGTGTGGGAGAATGCCTTAAAGGTCTTGCCAGAGATTTAGCCTTATTTTAGGCAGTGGCCACCCAATTAAGGGAATGCTAGGGTCTCATTGGGTTAATTCCAAGGTGTTGGCTAACCATATGGAATCTTCTCATTTCTAGGGTGGTTGCCCAGAGATCCAGTAGATCTTAGTAGTCTTATTTCTTAACATGGCATAAATGGCATTTATGAATCCTTAAATAAGTGGTTCTTAACCTTATGGGTTAGAAAGTCCTTGGGGAGCCTTTATAAATACTAAGATATGTGCCCTACCCATTGTTCTGGGACCAGGCTTTTTAAGCCCTGGGGATTTTTTAAGTGCTGTAGGTAAAAGAAAGAAAGAAAGAAAGAAAGAAAGTGCTGTAGGTAACTAATTGTAAGGTCAGAGTTGAAAAGCACTGCTTTCAGGTCAATAATAATTTCATTTCTTTGAGCAGAGTTTTTCAGGGTAGAAGATTCACTGTATTTGACATAGTAGTATTTTATGACATAGAATTGCAAGAACATTAGATGAATTTATTTTGTTGGTAAGTTTTATACAGGAACAAAATGTAAGTGAATATAGTTGGCAAATGACTATTGATCGAGAGAGGTGTTTAAATGTTTCTTGGCAGTTTTGTGTTACACTTACAATCTAGTTTAGTGAGAGCTTTTATAAATAACCCTAAAGCAAACTCTTGATAGAAATTGGTGCTGCCTTTTTTTTTACCTTCCCTTCCCTCAAATGGATGTCAGTACTAAAAATGTGTTTTCAAATTGTCCTTTTCTTTCCTTGCTCGGTCGCAGCGTACAATTCCTGATTTATGCTTTTTCTCCACTATGATCACATGTATTCTTCATTTGTAATACAAAATGTAAATCGGTGTTGTGTGGGCTGATAATCTTGCATGTTGCTCTACCTAGAAATGTCTAGAGTCAGAAACACTGACACAACTCTTAAAAATTGCCTTCCACCTATTATTTCCTCAGTGTCTTTTTAAAGTAAAAAAAACGTTTCCCTTGAGTTGGTTCCACTGAAGTGCTTAGTAAATTTTCAACAGTTGATCCAGTTTTTTAAAAAAATAGGTGCTTGAAATAAACTACAGTCTAGTCTCTGTGAGATTATAAATTTGTTACATTTCTGTGTTACAAACCCAGCTCAGTGGCTGATATTCTAAGGAAAACCATTAAGCACCTGGAAGTGTTGGAAAGAACAAGGGACATTCGCCAGAGGGACCCAGCCCTGTCATACATGGCTCCCTGAAAAGAAATCTTGGTGTCTTCCTCCCCAAAATGAAGAAGTTAGGTGAAATGAGGTCCCCCCTCCAAGCTACAAAAGGCTGTAAAAATATTAGCAAAGAAACATTACCCACAGGGGAGAAAGTAAAAAGATGACATATTTTAAAAACTCTTATCTATCTCAAAACTAAAAACCCCATTTTAATGTTCTTACCATCCTGGCTGCTTATTACCTAGTGTCTAAATCACATGACAGTTCTTTTTTTAATGGTTTGAGGGTCACTTGTATCTTCCCCTTCTGAAAATAACCAATATAGCTAAAATAGGGTGCGTAAATTAAGAGTGTTATAACTTAACTGACTTTTAAAGCCATTATTGCTGACCTTTGTGCCCTGGCTCTTTCCTTGGTCCCATCAATCACGTCTGTACCACCTCCCCCATACAAAGGCCCAGGCCAAGGTGCACGCTGTTTGTGTTCCTGGGGATACAGTGGGGGAAGGGAAGGGGACAAATGAAGGAAGCGCCAGTTTTTGGTTATTACATTTCATAATGATTATAACTACATTTCACGTGAAGGTGGGTAAATGTTTTAACATTAATACCTTTCTATATTTAGGTTATACTACTAGATATTACACTGGAACTTCAGAAGCAAATTATGTCGGAATTGGAAATTCTTTACAAGGTAATTTTTTTCCTGGTCCTCTTTTACTTGTAAAACATGCCTGTGGTGTTGACTTGCAGGTTTTTAACTACTACTTTTCTCATTTTTGTTACAGTGTGATTCATCATATATCATAGGATTTTATGGGGCATTTTTTGTAGAAAATAGGATTTCTATATGTACAGAATTCATGGATGGTGAGTGTTCCTTTCAACAGTGTCTTAAAAATGATTTTGGAGGGGTGTGCTTTTAAACCTGTTTTGATGTCAAATAGAATTAAAATGATTAAAATATACTAATAATGGCTCCTTTATACTCTAAAAAAATCCTCTTAAGTGTTAGTGGTTCCTAGTGTGAAATATTTGTAACGAAGCTATGATTTCAAGAATATAATTTCATTTACTTTTATTGAAAATTTAAATAGAACAGATTAAATGCTAGTCTAATTGGTGGTTTGATATTTGATTCTTATATGCAGTCTGTCTTTACTTCAAAACAGATGTTCTGTTCTTTTAATGTTTCAATAGCCAAAACAGATTTTCTTTTAAAGAAATCTATTAACCCAATGTCCTGTGTCTTTTGGAAAGAAATCAGTTCCTAATTGCTAGATAAGAAATAGTTTTTCAACACAGCTGTTTGTCCAAGATATGTTTTGTTTGTTTTGGACTTTAGTCTTTTTCATTTATTTCTATTTTGGTACTTCTTTCTTGAACTAAAAATTGTGTGGGAATAAGATTTCTGGGTATCTTGCCAGTGAAATGATGTCATCATTATATTTTAAGTCTAACAGTCTTTAAATTTTACATGTTCAGTCAGTTTTCCAATGTCTATCCCATTGAAACTTAACATTTTTATACACGCACACACGCACAGCTCTTCCTGGGTTTTCTTAGTATCTTACTAAAGCAGTCAGTTCACACCCCATCACACTTTTAACGAATCAACATTGGTACCTTGATACTATAATAAGTGTATAATGTATTCTAAATTAGTTTTAGTAGATGTTAAGAATCTAAAATCTTAATATAGGTAGATAATGACAGTTGTGGAAACTATCTAGATAAAGTAGATTCATAGAAACAAAACAGGTTAACTCTTAAACTTTCATCATTCTTACTTGAAAATCTTCAATTTTTCAATTACATTAAAATGTTTTTATTAAGATACAATTCAAATACCATAAAATGGCCCTTTTAACATACACAATTTTAGTGGTTTGAATCATCATCATTATCTAATTTTGAAACATTTTTACTATTTCCTGAAAGAAAACTCCTACCTTTGGTAAGACCCTCATTAGTGCCCTTCCCCTGAATGCCTGGAAATCACTGATGTCCTTTATGCCTCTGTGGATTTACCTATTCTGAACATGTCATATGAATGCAGTCCTATAACATGTGGCCTCCGTCTCTGGCTTCTTTCACTTAGTGTAATGTATTCAAGGGTCATCCATGTTATACTTTTTTCTTCTGTATCACTGAGTAATATTCATTGCATAGCTGTGTAATGTTTTGCTTATCCTTGCAGTAATTGATGGTCATTTGGGATGTTTTCACTTTATGCCCAATTATGAATAATACTACCATGTACATTTGTATGCAAGTTGTGTGTATCAGTTCTCTTGGATTTATACACACAAATAGAACTGCTAGGTCTTATGATAACTCTGTTTAACTTTTTGAGGAACTACTAAACTGTTTTGTTCGATTCCAAAATATATCAGCAATATATGAGGATTCTGTTCTCTACCTGTCTTTGTCAACACTTCTTATATATCTTATTGTAAAAAAAAAATGGTATCTCATTTTGGTTTTGATTTAGATTTCCCTAAGAACCAATAACGTTGACCACCTTTTGATGTTCCTACTGACCATTTGTATATCTTCCTTTGAGGGGTGTTTGCCTAAATTTTCCTTTCTTTTTTTTTTTTCTGCCCCAGTATGGGGGATTGAACCCAGGGCCTTCATACTGAGCTATATCTCCAGCCCTTTTTTAGATTCATATTTTGAGACACGGTCTTGCTAAGTTGTTCAGGCTGGGATTGAATTTACAATCCTTCTGCTTCAGCTCTTAGAGTGCTGATATTACAGGTTTGTGCCGCCATGCTCAGCTTCCTGTGTGTGTGTGTGTGTGTGTGTGTGTGTGTGTGTGTGTCTATCTATATATAGTTGTTGTTTGTTTTGTTTTTTTTTTTGTACCAGGGATCAAACACAAGTCCTTGAGCTTGCGAGGCAGTCACCAGAACCACTGAGCTAAATCCATGGCCCCTTTGTCTATATTTTTAATAGGTTATTGGCATTTTTATTGTTGGCTTATAAGAGCACTTTATATATTCTAGATACTGGACTTTTTTTTTTTTTTTTTTTGGTACCGGGATTGAACTTGGGTCCTTGCACTTGCAAGGCAGGCCACCGAACCACTGAGCTAAATCCTTGGCTGGACTCTTATTAGATACAGGATTTGCAAATTTTTTCCCATTCTGTGAATTTTTTTGCTTTTTTAAACATGTGCTTTGAAGTACAATTTTTTTTTTTGTACCAGGGATCAAACTCAGGACCTTGCACTTAGAGGGTTGGCGTGGTGCCACTGAGCTAAATCCCCGGCCCTACAAATGTATCTAAACGTGATAAAATTCAATTTATCTACATTTTTGGTTGCTTATGCTTTAGATGTTGTATATAAGAAACTATTAAATTCATCATCACAAAAATTTATACCTGTTTTCTTCTAGCAATTTCTTCTATAATTTTAGCTTTTTAAGTCATTGATCCATTTTGAGTAAATATTTATTTGTTTAATTTTATTGGTTTATATGGTTTAAGGTAGGGGTCCCAGTACATTCCTTTGTACATGGATAAACATTTATCCCTACACCATTTGTTTAAAAGATTATTTTCTCTTTTGAAGTTTTGCAGCACCCTTGTTGAAAATTAATTGACCATAAAATGTATTTCTGTACTTTCATTCTATTCCATTGATCTTTTTGTCTCTTTATGTCAGAACTACACTGTACTTGACTATTCTAAACTATTGTTTCATAGTACATTTTGAAATTGAGAAGTATGAGTGTTATAGCTGTTCTTTTTCAAGAATATTTTGGCTGGCTGGGGATGTAGCTCAGCAGCGCATTACCTTCGTGGCAAGCACAAGATCCTGAGTTCAATCCCTGGTACCAAAAAACAGAAAACAAAGCAAAAAAAGAATGTTTGGGCCATTACTAGGTACCTTACATTTCCACATGAGTTTAAAATCAGCTTATCAAGTTCTCTGGAAAAGCCACCTGGGATTTTTATAGGAGTATTTTGTGTTTGAGCTGGGTGTAGTGGTACATGGCTGTAATCCCAGCATCCTGGGAACCTGAGGCAGGAGGATCACAAGTTCATGCCCAGACTGGTCAACTTAGTGACATAGTGAGACTCTGTCTCGAACAAGAAATTTAAAAGGGGCTGGTGATGTATCTCAGTAGGAAGGCTCTGGTTTCAATCCTCAATCCCACAAAAAATATATGTTTGCATATATTATAGGTATACATACATTGTATATTATACATATGAATATATATACATACATATGCACACATATATTCTGTTCAATTTTCTTTACTCTTTCAGTGCTGTACTCATTAAATTTATTTCTAAATTTGTTCATTTGTTCATTGTGGTGCTAGAAATTACACTGGACTGCATCCTCAGCCATTTTATTTTTGGGTCAGAGTGCTGGGATTACAGGAATGGGCCATCACACCCACCTTATTCCTAAGTATTTTTTAAAGATACTGTAAATTGAATTATTTTCTTAATTTTATTTTTGATGATTTACTGCTATGTATAGAAATATAATTGACTTTTGCCACCACATCTGGCATATGCAATTCTTTTTATATATTCTGATTCAGTTTACTAGTATTTTCTCTGTGTGTGTGTGTGTGTGTGTGTTTGTGTATGTGTGTGTATTTGTGAGATTTGCTTGGGATCCAGCCCAAGGTCTGGTGCATGCTAAGCACTGTAGTTCTTGAGAATACTTGCATTCACATTCATATGGTCTGCATGTCATTTTCTTAAAATTAGGATAATATTCCATCTAAGTTATCTAATTTGTTGGCATACAGTTGTTCCTACTATTCCCTTATACTACTTTCTGTAAAATTGGTAGTCATATTCTCATTTTCATTCCAGATTTTATGGTAAACTGAAGGAACTTGAATCTTTTTTCTTCTTGGTTAGTGTAGCTCAAGAAATGCTACTTTAGGTGCATTCTAAAAGTTTTGCAGTATTATGTTTCTGGTTTCTCACAAAGGAAATTCCTAGTGGTTTCCTTTTGACCTGCTTTTATTTAGGGCTGTGTCATGTAATTTTCACATATTTGTAAATTTTTCATATTGTTGATTTCTAATATTTCATTGTGGTTGGAAGACATACTTTACATGACTGTAGTCATTTTAAATTTGTTGAGACTTGTCTTATTCCCTGACATGTGGTCTGTCATGGAGAGTATTCTGTGTGTACTTGAGAAGAATGTGTTCTGCTGTGGTTGGATAGAGTGTTCTTTCAGTATATATTGGGTCTGGTTGGTTTGAAATGCTTTTCAGTTACCTTATCCTCATTATTGTTTGCATAGTTTTATTCCTTTTTTGAAAGTTGAATATTTAAGTCTCCAAATAATATTTTTGAGTTGTCCCTTTCTTCTCTGCATGTTTATGCTTTACATATTTTGGCTGTATTAATTGGTAACATATTAAGTTTATAATTGTTATAGCTTTGTGATGGATTGACCCTTTTATTATTTAAAAATATTTCTTTTATCCTACTGATATATTTGAGAAAAACTATTTTATCTGACATTATTACAGTTTAATTATTGTTTGTGTGGTATATCTTATTTTTGTCACTTATATCCAACTTATTTGGTCCTTTGCACTGAGTCTATTCTTCTAATACCTTATTTAATCAGAGTGCTTAAATCATGTTCTGTTGATATAATTACAGACAAGGTAAGATTTATATCTGCTACCAGGCATAGTGGTGTAATCCCAGCACTTGAGAACCTGAGGCAGGAGGATCGCTGTGAGTTTGAGACCAGCCTGGGCTACATAGTGAGTTCCAGGTCAACTTCAACTACATAGTGAGACCCTATCTCAAAAAAAAAAAAACAAAAAAGATTTATATCTGCTATTTTACTATCTTTTTAAATTTTTCTA